TGATTTTAAATAATTTCTCATGAACAGGAAGCAATACCCAAATCCTGGTCACATCAACTAACATTTGCAACCTTTACAGACTGAATCTTAGTTTTTAGGTGTTTGGTGGCTTGACCATATTTCTTCTTTTACTAATTTGAATTTATCTCATATATCCTTGTCTGTTGTTTATGTGAACTGCTTTTCCATTTTCAGCTTTCTATGGCAGTCAGCACCATACAGTCCTACACTTGACTGGGTATTTCAGGCGCTGTTGCAGTGATCAATAACTTAATAATCCGTATGGAGCTTTTAGTTTTCACCCCGCCTGGCTCAGTTCTGTTGGATTGCTAGCTGTGACTTGGTGCTGTCCCCAAGGGCTGATAGAAAATCAGTGAGAACCCCATTCTCTCTGGTTCACTCCAGTGCATCTTCCCTAAAGCACTAGAAAAAGGCAGATGAGGCTGTATTTGGAAAAACATCCCTTTCAGCTGCTGTGCACTCATCTGCACCTGGTACAGGGTATCTGTTCATGAAAATGGCATGTGAGACTGCTAGCATGGTAAGAGTAAAGCCGTGGGAGAAGAAGGTTGGGAAGGCATCAGACACCCTGTGATCAGGAATCTCAAATTCTGAGATTTGCAAAGCATGAAGAATACTTGGGCCAAAGTTGAGAGGGAAAAAATTGATTTTTTTCTGTGCAAATATTTGTGGGCTGTGATAATAATGTGATAACATGATATATGGTAATAAGGTGATAGTTCCAAGATATATAAATAAAGATATGTAAATAAGGTAGGATTTTTTTGGTGAAGGTTGACATTCGAAAATCAAACTTTTGTGGTCAACCTGAAAACCTGAGAGTGAAAGGAGAAGCCTGAAATATGCTGGATTATCCTTGTGCATCAAAATTCGTATTATATTTTAAGGCAACACATAATAGAAATCCCATTGATAAAAGGAGGGAAAAAATGTTCATTTTTGCCCCACCCATCCTTCCCTTTAACAGCTGAAGCTTTGAGTCAGTACTTCAATGCTGAATACATCTTTGTTCTGTAAACTTAAGGGCACTGCAGTTATTTTCACAATTTCCCCAGTACCCAAACAAACTAAGGTAGCCACTCCTTTTCTATTTCAATAAACATTTTAAACATCCTTTTCCTAAGCCCAAGACAGACTTTTGAACTCAGAGACAATCCTGTTGAAAGGAGATTTTTCAGCATATTCTGGGAAGCTGCCTGTGATTGCCACATTCTCCACTCTGCAGAAATTTTGGAGCTGCAGTGAATGAACACTCATTAGATATGCTGTTGTTGGCTCATTTCCCTTCTCCTTTCTGTTTTCTTCCTCATGAATTGAAATAAAAGTGAATACAGAATTTTTCAGTACAGTTGCAGGGTTTTTTTAGAGTGGTCTGAATATCACTTCAGCATAATGATAATGCAGGCTTAATGACAGAAGTCCACTGTGTGAGTGGCTTTCTTCCTTTCTTGAGCAAGGGAATAAGTTACTTCATTAAAATATCTCAGTCCTTTTGTGATTGGATAATGTCACCAGGCATCTGGCAAAGGCTTTGGTGGAATCTCAGGTCAGGAGGACAAATACTGATACGCTGATATACCAAATAACAATAATGCAAGATGGTACACTTGAGGAAACCAGACTTTTGGCCAAGTATCAGCATAAGGCCCTTTGATGGCAGTGAAATACTACATAAAACCAGAAATTTCACCAGTATCCTCTGCCTTCTTCTGGTTTGTCATTTTTCCAGGCTTATTTTGGATCCTTTGCTCTTTTGGCAAGCTTTCATCAAGGATAACCGCTCCTATTACAGTCTCATTTGTTTGTTAGAGCCCAGCATTAAAATTGCAAATTGTTTCCCAAAAGCTACTGCTTGTCTTCATTGGGAGGGACACTCATTGTCACATCTTTCTGGCCTCTGATCAGAAGGTGGGGTCTGGGTCCCACAGTTCCCATTGCATTAATTGTGCCATCCAATGTTCAGTAAATTTTTATTTCATGTGACATAATTTCAGTTTTTGGTAAAGTGCTGGACATTTGTCATCAAATGTCTGGACTGGTTATACTGCCAGGAAGGGAACAAACAACTTCTTGTAAAAAATTTCATTGCTGATTGTGGTTTCTGACACAATTTCTGGCTGCTTCTCAAGACCTTCAGTCTGGCTCAGGGCACAGGAAGTTACAATCTTTGCTAAAAAGCTATAAGGAGGTATTACAGCCTTGCATTTATTTATGTATTTGGCAATTTCATGTGTTCATGTGACTTTCTGAAGCCCCTGTGTGTTCTGTTTGGTAAAATTTCCTGCTGAGCCTCACCCATCTCTGCAGTAGGACATGGTGGTCTCAGATCTTACTGTTGAATATGGGAATCCTAGTAATTAATTAACCAGAATTGAGACTAATGGTTGTCTCACAAGACAGAAGTCCTGCTGTTTCTCTCTGTAATGCTATCAGCTGTTGTGGAAGTGCTGGCCAAGAAAAAAAGTTAAAATGTTATCCTAATGAAACCTTTCAACAGCTGACCTCTACTGTATATGAAAACTTTGTGGAGGATGTTTGCTTTTCTAGTCCTTCACAGTGAACTCATTGATGACAGAAGCCTTGACTTGAACAGCTGGCTATTTGTTTGCATTGTGGCTGTGGAGAAACTGCAGAAATTGGAAGACCAGATAGTGATTTTGACAACTTTGTTTCAAGAAGAATGCTTAGGAGAAGCAGTATGTTTGATCTTAATTCTGTAGAAAGGTTTTATTTTAGATAAACAGCACGAAAAAGAAACAAGTTTCAAGTGAAAACTAGCCCTCTCTACTTGATTCAAGTTATTGGAAGATTGTGGTGAGCCAGAAAACAGAACTTCAGAATTCCATCCTTCTCCCATGAGGGATCTTAGCTGGCTCTGAAGGTATAAAACTATTTCCTACAAATCAGGAGCAGAGCAGTTGCTTGCAAGGGGTACCTCTCCCATGCCCATCTGCTTGGGTGCTGTTTACAGTGAGCATGCTTGTGGTGAAGTTCAGCCTAAATGTGGAAGGTGGATTCTCTTGATGGTTGCATTGTTCTCTCTGCCAATTTCAATCTTTTATTAGGCTGTAGCCAGAATCACCTACCTCACAGTCCTTCTCTTGCTGGATGCTTGTGGAAGAATTAATTTCTGTCAGATGGTGTGACTGCATGTGTTTTAGTGCTCCTACAGCGTGCCTTTATTGTCACTTAAAACTACCACATTTGTTTAGAGGAAATAAAATGAAACCCAAGGTCACTACTACATTAAAAACACCATGCCTCAAGTAAATGTGGATTTTTTTCATTTCCAGTGCTGGATTTTTAATTTTTTTTTTTGCCAAGAGTGTCTTTTCCTTTCACTCCAGCCCCTTCTGCCTATATTTTTCAGAGCCATGAGATCAGATGCCACAGTTACCGTGGCCTGTCCCCAGTCACTGTGTCTAGGAGATGTGGCAGTCTGAACACTTTGGATGCTTTTCCAGCCTTCAAATCCTGCAGCTCAGTGGGACAGCCATTGCCCTAGAGCACAGTGAACCTCAGGAGCTGTAGCTGGGCCTGGATATTTGAGACTCCAGCCAAAATCCTCCATGTGTTTCCTTGTGCCAGCCCTAGCAGTAAAAGAGACAAGTCACGGTGGGGAGCAGGCCCAGAGGGAACCTTGAATTTGCTGTCTCCCTGTGACTTTCCCAGACAGCATGTTCTCACACTGCCCCATTCTCTCTCCTTCCTAGGGCTGTGGTCGATTTCCCAGGATTTGCATCTCCCTCATTTGCAGCAGTGCTCACCTTTCAGCAGCTCTGTAGGAGCAGGTGACTGGCAGAGCCTGTCCCCCTCTCTTCAGTGCTGGCACCCCTGGGTGTCCCCAGGCTGTGGTGGCTGATGCAGAGTGCACAGGTCAGGGTTAAACCTCCCCTGTCCGTCCCCATCGCGCTGCTGAGTCGGGCAGCTTGGGCAAATCTCCCCTTCAGTGACTCTCAGCTCACACCCGTACAGTCCCTAAGCGAACTGGGGATGGGAGTCACCGGCCCGCCATTCCAGAATTTCCAAGGGGTGTCTGTGGGGATGGCGAGCTCTGGCTCCGGTGTTTGGGCTGTTCCCCAGCGCTGCGGGCAGTGTTTGCTCAGCCTCGGCACTCATCGCTGCCGGGCCGTGTTGTCTGAGAGCAGCACATGTGCCGTCCGGGGCTGGCCGGGAGCCTCCCTGGAGCGCCTGCGGCTGTCCCAGCCCGGGCTGGCCCCGGGAGGGGCTCCTGGCGGCTCGGGGTGGCCGTGCCCGCCAGGCTGTCCCCGTGTGTCGCCCCTGGGGTGCGCAGCGGCCGCTCTGCCCTGCGCTGGCTGCGCTGTTGCCATGGAGATTGCGTGCGCTGTTGCTAGGCAGCTGAAGCATCCTCGCCCGCACACTGCAATGCCACGAAATGCTCAACTTTCCTCATTCCCGTCTCCCTTCTGTGATCTCGCAGATATGACTCCTTTGGCTCTTATCCCACTTCATTCAGTTGCACTGCTGCGATTTCTTGGTGTTAACCCTGTAAACCCTAAAAAAGCCCGTGTGGCACTGCAAATAAGGATTATGGCAATGAGTTCAGGGCTGAAGGAGTTAAAGTGGTTGGGGATAGACTACAGAGGAAATGATTTCTAGCAGATAAACTACTTTAAATGTTCTGGCTTTCATGGAAGGGGAGGTTTGTGGATGCAGTCTTTTGTTCCATCACTGATGGTTTAGATGAATAAAAACAGACTAAAATATCACTACAAGGTAAGAAAATCAGCTTGAACGGGCCTAATTAATCTCTTCGGTTACAATATATATTTAGTTTTTTTATTATCCTCTGCTTGTGCTTGCTGATTTTGATGTAGCATGTGAATGATAATTTAGCTGTGAAGCCTGTCGCGTACCGTATTTGACTTATTTGGCTTGAATAATAAAGATATCAGCCTGTATTCTTGGAGTATACTGCATTAATCAGACTTGCAGGAATGATCACATGGTACTCTATCGCCTTTTCCTGTTAGCTGCTGCTTGTCAGCAGCTGGCTGAGCTGTAGGCTGCAGGCCAGTATCTGCATACCCTTTCTCCTCAGAATATTCCAAAAATACTGTCTCGTCATTATGCATTTTGCTGCAGTTTGACAGACTAAATGGTCCTCTGCACGTTAAGAAGATTATTTTAAATTTCAGAGCATTTGTGTAGTTGCTAGGCCATGTATGCATTTGAAGAATTCAGGTAGGCTCTCTGTTTTATACATCAGTGTGCTTGGTTTTTGTTCTCACAAGGTTTTTGCTGTGTAATGTCAGTCAGCTCTACAGTTAGTTCTTCAATGTGCAGATATTTATTGCGTTTTAGAATCTCTACCCTGTGCATGGGGAGAAGTGCTTGAAGGGTTCGTTGCAGGTAACGGTAGCTTAACTGCATGATGAAGTGCAAAGCTGGGTAATTGATTATATCTTGCACAAATTTCATAGCCATGCAGCCAGAAACAGCGAGTACAGGGTAGTTATAAATATAAACCAGAAACTGTTCTCTTTAAAAGGGTCTTTGCTATTTTTAGTTCTGGAGAATCTGACAGATGCTCCTTCAAGATAAAATACCGATGGTGATAGAGAAAATTGATGCTTGGATTGTACATAGGATTATATTTTATGCTGCTGCAGAATATACATGTCTTTTTCATAACCTTGTAGCTGCAGAATTCCTTATGAATTACATTTAAAATAAGAATATTGTTAAGTTTCTTGGGGTTGGTTTGTAGTTTGCAGACATTTGAGCAACTGTGATTATTAGAATATGAAATTAGCACTTTTTATTTGATATCGGTTCTGCTCAGTATTGCCTCTGCCCCCTCCCCTCCTCCATCTCCACCCCCAGTATAACTCCATCCTTATGCAAGTATTGAGGTCTATTAAAACATCAATAGACATTTGAAGGCATGAAACAATTTCTACCCTCACTAACAGACAATTATTTTCCTATGCAGTTTGGGACTTGAAAATATTCTGGTCAGTAGTTGTGGGGTAGGGAGTGTCTCACTTTTTGTGAAAAAAAAAATTTGTTTAGTGTGTTCAGTTCTTATAACTTGTGTTATAAAATTATCCAGATAAAATGGTGACAATTTTGAAGCAGCACTAGGCTTCACCTTATGATACGTTTGTCTATATCTCATTTTTAAAATGTATCTTAAAAATACCTTTCTTTTTGATTCAAAAAAAATGGACTGTTTGACCAAGTATGTAACTAGAGGAGATGATGTATTCTCTTTCTATACACAATGAGCATTTTTTATTAAATACCTTAAAATTAAATTTTCTACCCTCAGATAAGATATTTTTAACATTATTTCTGCTTTTGTTAGGCAAATATATTGGCAATTTCCATTATTTTGTGAGTTGCTGCTCAGTTCTGTGTGTGAGTGGTGGCAAAAGCAGGTACAGGACACCCCCACTCTCCAAAATGTTCTGATTCCAGCTGCAAGGGCTGAGGAGACCCAGGATGACTGTGTGTATTCCTCCTGTTGTGAGATGCAGCATGAATACTGTCTGAGAGGAAAGATTTTACTGGAAGACCGGATAATGCTGTGTAACTGCTGTTGTCAGGGCTGTCAGGAGATGCTTGCAATCTTGACATTGCTGATTGTTGGCAGTAATTTAAGGTGCAAATGGGTCCAAGCTTACTGTGCCACTTACTGTGCCCACAGAGTTGTTTGTATTTCTGCCAGTTGGTTGGGTCCTATTCTTAATTGAGTGAAATCCTCAGTAAATCTACAATGAGAAAAAAAAAGGGATATTTTTAAAATCCTGCTTTAAAAGCCTTAGCTGTCTTTTCAGTGGCTTTCCTAGACATCTTGGGCCAGAAAGACACCTAGTTTTATGGCAGGAATGGTCAAATGCTGATTACACACCCATTAGGCTTATTAAATTACGTGTCAGCCTCTCTTAGACTTGATTTGAAAATAAATCAAAAATTTGATTTGATGTGCAGACTGCTAGACATTTTCTTTTAAATTTTCTGTACTGGTAGGGCTGGCGTTTCTGTACAACAGCATTTAAATGACATTCATTTTATTGGGAATTTCTGTGGTGTTTTGTTGAGGTTGCATCTGTGTGTTGATGTGGATTTTTTTTGTGGTATGATTATTCTCGTGCCTGTGGCTATTTTAGATTCTGATGGCATCAAAACATATCTTGCAATTTAAAGATTAAAAAGAGGTCTAGTTGAGCAGTGGGGTGGAAGCCTCCCTGCCATGGGCTCCTGGAAGCAAAGTGGCTGTAGCAGCAGAGGGCACTCTTCTCTGGCCTAAGGCTCCAGGGTTGCCCCACTCTCTTTTCAAGTTTCCTGTCTTCCATGTGCACAAAACACAGGCTTTGCACTCATCTCTCACCTTGACTTTAACCTGAAGTGGATGCTCATGTGTGTGTTGCAGCAGCAGGGCTGTTTCCATCCTCCAGTGCACCCACAGGCCTTGAGGACCCGAGTGTCCCCTGAAGTGGTGAGCCCAGCGGGGCCTGCTCATGCAGACACAACCATGGCATCTCTGTGTGTCACTCTGATTTTTTTTTCCTGTCTCCACACGGGGCCTTTAGGACCTGCAGGGCTGCCCAGATGGGTGGTGCAGGCTGTAGCACCCTGAGCCTTTGCCAAGAGGCATCCCTGCAATCAGGCCACCCAAGTTCTCCCACTGATTTCATTTTGATGCAGCCATCTTCACTTCCCTGGTGAAATGGTGCCAGGTTATTTTTGTGAAGTGTTAAGCAGCTGCTGGACCTCTCTGAAGAATTGTTTCACTTAAAGAGTGTAAGTGACTCTGGTGTACTGTTTGTGAAAAACTTATCCGTAAAGCCCTTTGGGATGGAATCTTTCCTGTGTGGTTACTGGCTGGATGTAGAGAGACTTAAGCCTCTGAAAAAATTAGGGAGTAAATCCATAGAATAATCTCACAGCTTCTTGTATCAGCCAAGCTTGGTTTATCTTCCTCTTGGAAAGAACCTAATATCCCCTGAAAAACTTTGCTTTTCAAGCAGAGGTTAATGGAGCTAAGCCCCTTCTCAGTCCATATGGGCTTCTGGTTTCTGTGTGCTATCTATGGGTTGGCCCATTTTATTGCTGATTCCTGCACTGTCTTCATAAAACCCCAAAGATGACATACATTTGGGTTATAATTGGAGGCAGGGTTGTTCATAAGCCATGCTTTTATGACCTGCTGCTGACCACACTGCCGTAGGATGGCTCTGCACGTGAAGCCATCAGGAGGATGGTGCACTTGGCCACGAGCAGTACTCCTCATTTGGTATCTTCCACCCAGATTTAGCTCTCTAGTGGCAGAACACAAATGCATTTTCTTTTCTTTTGTTGCTATGCCTTTATCTTTCTGGGATATTACTTGGTATTCTTCGCAGTGAGCTGGTGTCTGTCTATTTCTGCTACACCGCCCACCACAGCACCACAGTATTTTTAACTACATCTTCTATTCCCTCATCCAACGAGCAAAACTGAGAACGCTACAGGAAGGAAGATGAGTCTCTCAGAGCGAGCTGGCTCTGAACAGAGGAACTGAAACCCACCGATGAATAGAAAGCAAAGCTCAGAATGAACGTAGAGCGCTTGGGTGCCACGGTGCATGGAGACCCTCCCACCTGCTGGTCCCCAAAGCAGCAGCAGCACTAGAAGATGTCCCCTGTGTCTTTGGGCAGATGAAGGCATGGTGTTTATTGTAATGTATAAGCATTTCATGGCCGAGTTTAGCTGCACAATTGGATCAGCACACGGGAATTCTGATGTTTAAGCTGCTTTTGCTGCTGCCAAGCAAAAAAAAACACCTGAATATGCCAAATTAGTGAAGAATTTTGGTTTTTACATGATTCTGTAAAAATGAATTGTGGTGGCAGGTGCCCATCAAATGCATGCTCTGACTTAGAGTGCAGCTTTCTCCTCTCTCTGGTGACCAAGAGAAGGACACAAGGAAATGGAATGAAGCTTCATCAGGGGAAGTTCACACTGGACTTTAGGAAATCATTCTTCACTGAGAGGGTGGTGGGTCACTGGAACAGTTCCCCAGGGAAGTGGTCACAGCACCAAACCTGTCAAAATTCAAGGAGTGCCTGGACAATGCTCTTAGTTATATGGTTTAGTTTTCGGTAGTCGTGTGAGGAGCAGGAAACTGGACTTGGTGATACTTATGGTTTGCTTCTAACAAGAGATATTCTGTGATTCTGTAATTTCACTGCTGACAGTTCAGGTATCTCCAGGGTACCTGGCATCTTTATTAAAGAACTGTATAAAGGAGAAGTATGATCATTTTGTAAGGATGGATATTACAGTAAAAGGCATGTGACTCTTCCTTCCTCCTTCTCCAACAAACAGTAAGATGATTTATCAAAGGGACAAAAGGCTGGTGCTACGAAGGGATGCAGGCCTGTTTCCAGTAGCTTTTCCTGCTGAAAGTTCCTAAGAAGAAGGCCTTTTAAATAATCACAATTTTCAGAAGTGACACTGTAGTTTAAATAGCCAAGCAACCTTAGGAAGCTGTAGCTGAAGTGACAGCCAGCATGGCTTCTCTTATGGTGAATGGTGCCTGACAAATACAGAAGCCTTCAGCAGTGGGGTTACAGTGTTGGTGGATAAGGAAAGAGTGACTGTCATCATCTGCCTGGATTTGTGCCAAATGTTTGACACTGTCCTGTACAACACCCTTGACTCTAATCTGGAGAGGCATGGATTTGACAGATGGACACCTCAAGGGATGAGAAATTGGCTGGATGGTCACACTCCAAGAGCTGTGGTCAACAGCTTGCTGTGAGAGTGGACACCAGTGCTGAGTGCTGTGTGGCACTCTCAGGGGTCAGTGTTGGAACTGGCACTGTTCATGTATTTGTGACAACATGGACAGGGGGCTTGGGGACACCCTCAGCAGGTTTGCCAGTGACACTGAGCTCTGTGGTGCAGTCAGCACACTGCAGGGAAGGGACCTTGACAGGTTTGAGAGGTGGGTCCATGTGAACCTCATGAAGGTCAGCAAGGCCAAATGCAGGGTCCTGCACCTGGTTCAGGGCAATCCCAAAAGAATGGAAGGTGTTCAGGGCAGAGAGGTTGAAACTAGATGATCTTAAGGTCCCCTCCAACTGAAACCATTCTATGACTCTATGACAATAGAAAAGGATTCCTGTTCATTGCTGCAAGAAATATGATCGTATTGATGAGTAAGAAGCATCAGGAGAGTTGCCAAAAGGCTATTTCAAGTTGCTAAGGAGTGTAGCTTCTGTGTAGAGATATAATGGAGAAGTGGAACAGCAACGCTACAGAGAAGTGTAACAAATTGTTGTTCCAAATTGGTGACTCTGACCTTCCAGGTTAGATGGAGCAGCTAGTGAAAAACACACCAAATGGTGTAGTTAATCTTTTCTGACAAGAGGGGAAAAATTTGATGAGTAGTTGTTTCTGAGTTCAAAAGGTGTTGAAATGAAAGGGAGAAAGCAAGTTTAAAAAGGAGAAAATTCAAGGATGGTATCTTGGCAGATCATAATTAGTTGCAGGATCTTCTGACCTGCATAGCTGAACTCTCCAATTGTATATCATGTTCAAAATATCCTGTAGGTGCTATATAAATAACCACAAATGTATGAACCTGAAAGCTGCAGGCTGGCCAAACCTCTGCTTTCTCTGCAGTGCCCACCAGTGAACCAGCTGCTTCTGTTCCTCCCTTTTGTCCTTGCATGGAACACACAAATTCACAGAGCTATGGAATGGTCTGGGCTGGAAGGGACCTGACAGACCTCTCACTATACCAGGTTACTCAAAACAACATCCAGTCTTCCCCTGAACACTTCCAGGGATTGGGCATCCATAGCAACTCTGGGCAGCCTGTGCCAGTGCCTCACCACCCTCACAGTGAAGAACTTCTTCCTGATACCTAATCTAAACATCCTCTCTTTCAGTCTGAAGCCATTCCCCCCTGTCCTCTCACTCCATGCCCTTGTAAAAAGTTCCTCTCTATGTTGCTTGTAGCCTCTTAAGGTACTGGAAGGTGCTATAAGGTCTCCCCAGAGCCTTCTCCAGGCAGAACAACCTCAATTCTCTCAGCCTGTCTTTGTAGGAGAGGTGCTCCACCTCTTGGATGATCTTCATGGCCTCCTCTGGACTCGCTCCAAGAGGCTGATGTCCTTCTTGTGCTGGGAGCCTCAGAGCTGAGCATGAAACTTGATAAAAACACCTTGTTGAGACAGAAATTTCTGGTTATCTGCAGTAATTGGCAAGCAAATATGAATATTCCATATGATGCATCTCATCAGAGAATATGCACAAGCCTGGGGGGGCAACTTATGGTCCCAATAAGATCTGTAATACCCTTTGCATAACCCTTCACCCTTCATTTTGTGACTGAGAGACAAACTTTAATATTTTTTTTCTCCAAAAACAAACTTGCACTAAATTAAAAAAAGAGGAAAAGGAACTAGTTTTTCATTTTTCTTTTGCTGAAGGCGATTGCCTCAAATCTGCTCTTTGATATTGGAAATTGATTTTCGATCCTTGGATTTTGGACAGTTGTTATTTATCCACACAAGGCATACACCCTGAGGAAATGTTGCTTCCTTAAACAGCAGATTGAATCAAATGTTTTTGCTGACATATTTTTCCCTGTGACAACTGACACTGCAGTTGCCACATATTTCAGTGGTTTAGCACAGAGACATTTGAAGAGAAGGAGAGAAATGCTTCTAAGAAAGTAATGTGAGAATGCTGTTGCTGGAAATGAAGATAAGCACGTACTATTCTCATAGTGGCTATGTTGAAATATTTCTACTGAAGAGGAAAATGGATAGAGACTCTTTGTTAGAGGTGGTGCAGTCAGGTTTGGCCAGATTTTAAGGGGGAAATCAAATTTTATCCCAAATATAAATATGAAAGGAGATTTATTCCAGGATATTCACTGGATTGGAAGGGCTCCACTGTCTCTGTTAGGAGGTAATTTCCAGTCACAGTTAAATCAGTGTAAATTATCTGTGATGTGTGTATTTAGTGCCTAAAACAGGGGAAGTCTTCCTGTCTGTGGAGCAGCATTCCCTTCTTTTTTCCTGTTGAACTGTAAACCCTACAGAGCACCAGTCTCACTGGTGCCAAAGGCTTGGATCACAGCCTTTGTGAACCTACCTGAGGTCTGCAGTGTAATTCATTTCCAAGCCCAAGGAATTTCCTCTCTATGCCTTTTGCTCTAGGCATGATAACCTATTGTTGCATTTTTATCTATGTCGCTCTCATCTCCAAAACATGTTTATCGTTTTCTCCCTTTTTTTAACTCTCTCTCAACTCCAAAACATGTTTAGCCCCCCTCTTTTTTTTAACCAACCTTGTGGTAATATTTGCAAACAAGAAGTGTCTGCTGTTGTTTAATGAGGATCCAGACACACTTTTCAGAAATGAAAGTAGCTATCAAGACATGGAAATTGATGTCAAGCTTTAAAATGAAAATAAACTTGAGTACAGATGGCTTCTTTAAATAACAAAATTAATGATAATTTTTAAATCCACCTATGGGCATTCATTAGAGCAAGTTATTCTCAGTGTCATTCTAGTGTTTTCTAAGCCTTAGTATGAAGTCTATAAAGATTGGAAGCATTTCAGCTGAACTTTCATGGAAAGTAGCTGCTGCTCACTTCTTCCTACCTGCAGTGTTTTTTCATAGGGGTGGATGCTTGGTTTCAGTATCCTGGTGTCTCCCAGAGATGCTCATTACCTCTGTCCCTGTCCATATTTTCAGCTACAGGACAGCATGGATATCCGAATTCCCTCTTGCCTTTTCTTGTGCAACAAGGCCAAATGGATAAAATTGCTCTTCTTGTTATTTCTGCTGTTCATAAGGTAGATACAGGACATGGGGGCTTCTTCCTATGATCCGTTTTAATCCTTGTGGTGCAAAGCCTCAGACTAACTTCCCATTAAACTTGTCCATGGCAGGGAAGGAGATGGGGTAAAAACCAGGGTGAAAGGAAGTTAATTAAAGGAGAAAAAGCCAGGTAAAAATTTAGGGAAATTATTGAAACTTTTTTTTTTTTTCAGAGTGGAGGAGGGTTTTATATCAAAAAGCTTGTTCTTTCTTCTGACTGTAAGAATTGTTATAATAAAAGAAGTATTCCTACCAGCTTTGCTCTCCACAGATTGTCTTTGCTTCATGAGACAGCACTTTTTGATGCCATTTTTTGTAGTTAGCACCGTTCTGCCCAGCCATCACAGCTTAGCTGCTGTTTGGCAAGGGGCTGTTTCTTATAAAGTGACATTAAAATGGAAGTAACAGATAAGACTCTTTTTGACATGCATTGCAAATTATTTGAGATCAAAGTCACATTCTTGTTTTAATTGGGAAATGGAAATCTAAGAACCACATTTCAAAAATGAAGAAAAATTCATTTTACACGGATCAGATTTTCACAAGAGCATGTATCAGCTCTGATTATTCCAGGGAGGAGGACCAGCTGGATGCTATTTATGTAGAAAATTTGCCTTTGTCTTTACAGGCTCACATAAATGTGGAGTATTTGAATTGTTTGAAAGTTTCTGTTTGTTTTTCAGTGATGAAGAGTGTGGAAAATGTGATTCTAAGGTTGTCTGTGTGTATTGCAGAATGGGGGAAGCAGGCATTTTGGCCCTGACACTGTGCTGTAATGGTGCACAGTAACTGGTTCTGTTATTGTACTGGGACAATTTTGTTGCAAGAGAAACAGCAAAGGATTCAGGAGCCCAAAGTGCTAGCAATATAAAGGAAGGGGAAAAACCCACCACTGCTTTTGGGAAAGGATCAATCTCAAAGCTTGAGGATGACACTTCAAAGTCTGTATTGGCTTGTTAGGCAAGATTAATAGTACTAATAAGAGGTAATGCACTCATGTCAGTAGCTCCCCTATGGAAATTTTTAACTACTCTATATAACCAGTGGTATTTTCAAAGCTCACTCAGCACAAGCTCATTAAACACAGATAGGCACTTATTTAAACTATTTATTAAGTTCAGTGTGAAAAGGAGAAGAAAGGAAGCGTGTTATTAAAGAAGAAGGTGAAAATTAAGTACCCACAGGGTACAGCCCATGAAAGGTATCTCAGTAATTTGACATGACAACGATGCTGATTTATTGTGGAAAATCCTGACATCGCTGACCAAGATGTAACAATATCCTGGTTTTGAAGGTCGAAGTAAGAGAAAAATCAATCCTGAAATACAATGTGATTTCCTAGCATCAAGACTTAGGAAGTGGAGGGGCTTGTTCAGAGGGCACGCAGTGCACTTGGCATCACCTCAGCTCCCACTGCACTTCTGCTCCTTTCAGATACAATTTTCCCTCCCCAGAAAGGGTCACATCTGTGCCTGCAAGTGCACAAGCACTGGGTGTGGGTGTGAGCTCAGTCCCTGCAGCTTCCCACGTTCCTTCTGAGCTCCAGCCACACTTGTGAGCTCTGGGTCTGCATCAGGATAACCTTGAGTGCCAAATACTGGGGATTTCAGCTGGCTGCTCTTGTGTGTGTGGGTGAGGGGAAAGCAAGGGGTCAGACATGGACTGGGATTCCCTGTAGATGCAGAATTTGGCTCTTGAGGTCTGGAATGTGTTTTCCTTTGCTTTTTTGGTTTATTCTGTCTGAAGTATCTGAGGTTGGTCTGTCTGGACTGGTGATGCTGAGGATGAGAGCCTTGGTGTCACACACAGGGACTGACACCTTTGGGGTCCCACCAAACTCCGAGAGACTGCTACTTCTTGGGGCTTTACCCCATCACCTTCCCCACTATGGGTTGTGAGCCAAGTACAGCACTCAGCTGGCCAAATTAAAGTTTCTGATGCTTTCTCAAAATTTCTGAGGTTTTCAAATCTTTATAGTCAGATTGCATGCTTGTAAATTATATGTATTTAAATTAAAACAACTAATTTATAAAGTCTGATGCATTTTTTAGTTGTTTCTCTGTACTTCAAAAGGATGATACAAAGCCTTTTGGTGGGTACCATGAATAGGAAGTTGAATTTTAAGAATGCATTTTGAGATATATATCCTGATTTATATTGAGTCCATTTGGTAGAGGAGCTGTTGAGAAAAACCAATGCAAGGGAAGCGAAAGCATGCCATCATGTTGCTACATAGGAAAAATGCACTGTACTGCAGATTTGCACTTGTGGTTTAAGGTGATGATGAGCAGAAAGCATATTTCCAGGGCTTTCTTTGTGAGCAGATTACTTAAACCCAGATTCCTTCAGATGTCTGAGCTCAGTCATGGAAGCATTAAGAACAAGAGTCAGAAACTTGACTAAGACTGCTCACAGAAACCTTTATTAAACTTTAAAGAAGGCAATGAAGCAAGGATTAGATGTAGCTGGGTGTGGAAAATAGCTGTGGAGACAGGTGTTGCTTGTCAGTTTGAGTTTTACTTTGATGTTCAAGCAAGCCAAGGCAAGTGGGGACAGAGCTGGTGGGCAAGCGAGGCGGTGTGGGTGCACTGAGTTAGCTGGAATTGCACCTCTCACTGCAGTGCCCAGAAATGTGCATCAGGGGAAGCCAGCCATCCAGGAAATTGGGCTGGAGGAGTCATCTGGGCTTCCTTAGTTTGTGTTCAGTGTGCAGACTCTAGTCTGAAGTCAAAAATCACTGTAAATTCAAAGGGGATCAGGTTTGATAGTGGCAGCTGTGCTGTGGAGCTGAGGGTTTGTCTTTAATGCTGGGATTTAATGTAGGTGCTGCCAGACATGGTACCTGTGTGCCCATGGACATGGGGGACTGTCCCCAGACCAGTTATTAAGGGCAGAGAAATTGAGGTACAGAGTGTCCTAAATCCTGGGAGTGGCACTGATGAGTGAGATCCAAGCCCGTCTCTTTGGGTCTCTCTTGTCCAAGGATGTCTTCCCTCTGAAACATGACTGTAAGTGTGTATATTTACATAAAAATATTTAGATATTTTTATGTGTGTTTTTACATTGTTCTGTAAATGAAAGTTTGTATTATGTGAGGACTTACTTTGAACTTTGAACAACCCTGCTGGGGTTGTGAGAATAGTGGATGGAGCCAATGACACTTCGCTTTGATTTCTAACCCAAGTTACTGTCTACAGTGATTCAAGTGTGGCTTCTAGACAGGACTTATTTGTATCTGTCCACTAGATTTGGGAAAAGGCTGCATGTTTATTTACACTTCTGCAATTCAAATCTATTTGTCTGCTACACTTAATGACAGAATGCGTGGGCTTTTATGTATATGGAGATCTATTTATATATAGACATATTTAGGCAGAAAGCAAAGAATGATTTTTTTTTCATTAGTACATGATTTTAACAGGCAACAGGAACAGGGAATTTGGTGATAAACTTGCAAAGTGTCAGATCAGAAGATACAAATCCCAGAGAACTAGGCATGGGAATATGACTGAAAAGGAGTGTTCAAAGAAAAACACATGAAAATTAGTATCAGCTACTTTAAAGGTAAATATCAGAAAAATGCTGTCTTTGTAATGGTAATCATAATTGTGTTCATATAATAGTTAATGGTATCACTGTTTTGATGAGGAGCACAGAAATCCCAGAACACTTTAAAGATGTTCATAGAGTAACTCAGTGCTCTGGCAAAGTTGTTAAAATTATCCCTACTTTGCTCTTAGTACGAAAAGTAAGGTTAAATAAAATGCCAAAGGTCAGATTCCAGATTAGATGTAGTGCTGGGAATAGGGAACAGGCTCAGACTCTTTCAATCCATGGATTTAATTCAAATGTTTGAAATGGAAGGACCTTGCCGTGTTGGGAATTCACATTTGAGATCGCTCTTCAGAAAGCTGGTTGTCTTCTACTTTTGTCTTTTTTCTGCAGTGGAAATTAGTCCCACTTTCAGCCATGAGAGGATTAGTAGTGCTGTGGATGCAGTTGTGCAGATGTCTGGGATGAGCTTCATTTCTCCTAACTCTGAATGTCTACATCCGTCCTGGTCCCTGTAGGCTCCTTGTGTAATCAATGGATAGAAAAAACTGCTGCTAACGTGATTCATCTGACCTGTTTTAGCCACCTACTTTAGGAGTAGATGAAGCATGCTCTAGAAACACTTTTATTTCTTCTGATTTTAAGGAAGTCCAAAAGAAGAACTGACACTTAGAGGTTGTCTGGACTGGACAAGGTAAAGCAGAACTTGGAGGAGTGTAAGCAGCTGTAATATTTTGTCTGCCTCATACTGTGGCTTACAGGAGTTTATCTTTTTCGTACTGGCATTTTGCATGTGTCACTTTTCATTTTATCTTCTTTATTTCAGCTTCTGGCCTGTGTTTTAATGTCTGTTAGATTTAACTACAGTTTCAGAGTACAATCATGGGAATGACCCAGGTACTGTCTCATTGACTGGGGTGATACCACAGCTTTGGATTCTATTTATTGCTTGAATGCATATCTTTATTGCAGGAAATGGAGTAAATAAACTCCCTTGTAAAACATGATGTTAGTCAAGACAGAACTTGACTTCTGATTGGGGTACAAGCACCTCTTCCAATCATCTTCTGCCCTCTTAGGGAGCATTTTAGGGGTTCTGTTCATTGTTATCCTGATTTTTACCACATCCCCTGGGATGTTCTTTTTCTTTTGGTTTACTTTAAATTTTCCTTGAAATATATTTGAAATGCAGTGCCTGTGATGCTTACACAGCCATCTGAAGACCACTTCTACAGGGGTACCCAAGGCACTACTGCATCAGTATTCTTAGGTTAATGTGCTCCTGTGTATCCATACAGGCTGTTTGTAAAATCTCTCTCTCTGTGTTAGGTTGATGTGCCTTGTGATTTTGATGTGCTTTGGCTCGATTACATATATGTGATTGCACCCAAACCACTGAAATTCTGTGCTGTCATGAAACTTTCCAAAGGAAAGATGTATCTAAAAGTCCAAAGAGCTACCTGTTCCTGGATAGTAAAACCCATCCAGATGAGGAAAACTTCCTGAATAGCTTGCTTCATGTTCTAGCTGTCTGCCTTTTGGGATGCTGGAGAAGTTGTGGAGAGAATTGCACGGGATTTCAAAAGGTTCCTGTTGTATTAAACACCTGAAACACAAAAGTGGATATGTCAAAATGTATCTAAGCATCACCTGGTCTGTGACTTACAGTGACAATATGTAGCTTTTGTCATCTCATTTGGGTGTTACTATCTTTATGCTTTGAATCTATTAGTTAATGAAGCTGGGAAAGCTGACATTTGCCTGAAACCACTTGTTTTTATGAGGTGCTTTGCTGTAAATGTCATCATAGACCAGCCTGGTGTCACTGGTGCAGTAGTTTGCAAACACTAAAAAGGAAACTCCCTTCAAGAAATAATCCCTGTGCTCCTGTTTACATGATCTTGTCAAAGTCTCAAACCATTGTGCTTTTTGTAGAGCACCTGAGGGTGTTCTCAGTGCAGTACTACGTCATTCCTGCACTGGATCTGGCTTATAATTCATTAACCACTGAAATAACAAGGAATAAGGATGGACCTTAAACATGGTTCATGCTTTCTGAAAACTTGGGCAGATGTGCCCATTGTATCCAGTCTACATTTTAAATTCTTTGCACAAGGATAACTGATAACTTTTGTTTTAAAAGCTGAGCTCTGGGACAAGAAATCCTATATCACTTCTTACACCTGACTAAGCTTTTGAATCTCACTACTCTGAGAGATACTGCTGTGCACTGAAAATTGCACAGGAATATCCTGGGCCAATAGTTATTCCAAACAAGCCTGTGTTGAACTAAAGGCCACAATTATCTAAATGTCGCAGGAGTTGATCTCCTCTTCCGCAGTATTGCCAGCTGCAGAGTGACTGAACCTGTGTGTTTCCTGGGGCATGTTTCCAAATGTCTTAGCAAATATTAAATAGATGAATATGTAAATAATGTTAAATCTTCCTGTGCTAACATCTTTATCACAACTGTAAGGTGGCAGTTGCTGTCCCTTTAGTAAGAGAGGTTGGAGTTTTAGTGTTTTGTTTAATTTGGAAGTGAATTGATAGTTCTCTTCTTGCCAACTGTGGCACATGAGACAATGAACTTCACAGTGAAATCTGACTATAATAAAACACATAATCTGTTTCAATTAGTTTTAAAGAAGGCAGTTGTTTAAAGCAGCTGGTGAAGCACACAGATGTTCTGGTTGAGGGCAATCCAATATTGAAATGGCATAATGTGGCAACAAACTCACATTTTAAAATGAATGGCTGACAAAAGAAATATTTAGTCAAGCACCCTACTCTTAATTATAGTGGCAGATATTTTTCATCTGGAAGCATGTGCTCAAAAGGTGCTGAACAACCGAGCCTTCTTTCTGACAAAAATGCTGTGTTGCAGTTCCTTAAGACAGAAAAGATGCATTCACTGGCTTGCTGGACTCAGTTCTGCTCTGTGAGTTTGCTGCCTGAGCCTGCAAGTGAAATGACAGTGGCTGTGCAAAGAGGCTTCATTCATCTACAGATATAAGTGTTGTGAAGTCATATAAGAAAAGAAAGCCGAAGGTAACGCGCTTGTGTCGGGGTCCTGCTCCTCTGCAGGGACCAGCAGACTTGAATTTTTAAGCTGGGATGGAGACCAGCTGCCTCAGTGAGTTTCCTTGTGGAGACAGCTTTTGATCATAATATTTTAGTCATCTTCATGAATGCCTGCCCAGTGAAGCATGGAAGTATTGGGCTTTCTCTCCCTGCTGCAGAAGAGGAGGTCAACTTATGCAATTTCCTTGCACTTCATTTCTTTGGATTTGCACAGCTGCCCTCTCAGGACTGCAAAGTCCCTGGCCCTAGGGCCTGCCAGTTTTGGAAGCTTCTAAATGTCAGGTCTAATCTCAAGTTTTAATTTTTAAAAATACAAAGTTCCTTGACTTTTTGCTTGCAGAGAAAATTGAGCTATTCCCAGTCAGTCAAATCTTGGTGCCATTATATTTCTGTGTGTAAGGTGGGAGAGAGAATGAGATGTGACTGTTTCATTTTCCTGCAATAAAATGAGGCATGATGCCTTCAATTACACCAATCAAATCAGTTAAATAGTGACTTTCCTCACTATCACAAGGCCTCTGCTTTACACAGGCCTGTTCTCTAGTGCAGTCTCCAGCATCAGAAGCTCTTCACAGCCCGCCCTGGCCATGCAAAGACCAGGGCAGTTCTGTATTGCCTGGTTCCTGAGGTGGGAGCTCTGCACAGAGGACACCCAAGAGCCTGAGGGGAGAGGGAGGACTGCAGTAGCTGAATGTATGGGAGTAAAACAAGAAACTGTGGCTATTTTCTCATTTCCTCTCCTGGCTGCCCAATTTGAAGTCATTACTGGAATAAAGCTGCAGGAGTCTAGCCAGGAATAGAAGGTAGGTAGGTAAGTGATATCAAAAGTTTAGTCTATGACTGAAAGCACAAAGTACTCAGCCATCTTCCATAGCTTCCAAGGCTTCCTCCCTTGGTGCAGATCATTTTATATCCTTCCCTGAGCTGCTCCAGCTGCCAGTTCACCAGTTTTAGCCCCAGGGCTAATTTCTGCCTACCTTCCGTGCCCATCAGCTATCTATTATTGACTTAAAGTGTTAGTCAGACCTTCTGCAGCTGTCAGTGGGGCTGGCAGTGGTTGCCTGTGTCTCAGTAGGCTGTTGTCTGATGCTTCCTGGCAGCAGGGGTGGTGCAGAGACTGTGAAGCTCATCTGGTCAGATAGCACTCAACCGCTGAACTTAGTGTCTGTGTTGGCATCATCCCAGTTTATTAGTGCCATGATAATTTTGACTGAGTTGTACACACAGAACTTGAAGTCACACTTCTTGTTTGCAGGAGAGGTGCAGTGTTTGTCCTTCTGCCATCCTTGTCAGTGAGACAATTTGTCTTCTCTATACCAATGTGCGTCACCCAGTGTTGTTTTGATTAACTGCTTACATTTTCTAGAATTCATCATCACAGGGACCCCCTGTGTCTCAGAGCATTGTAACCCTGCTTGCATGGTCTTGGAGGCTCTGATAAGAAGAGCCTTGTTCTAGCAGTGTTTTGTCTTCCCAGCCTTTAGAGGACATGAGGCATGTATGGCATGTATGGCTCTTCTCTGAGCTGGAGAGGTGAAGGTAGAAAATATTGAGCTCAGCAACTTCACCATTTTTGCATAGAACACTGTCAGATTTATTCTTGTTCCCACCACTGTTACAGAGACCCAGAGTCAGGATGGGCTTCAGAACGAGGATGGTGGGATGTGGTGGATAGATTGGGACCAGGGCCTGCAAAGATCTGAGTTTCTTCCTAGGCTTGTGCTAACACTGGGGTCTCTTGGGCAAAAAGATTCACTGTCTGAAAAATGGGGATAGGTAGACTCCTGGAATATAAACCCACTAAGGTTGCAATGCTCTTGGAAACAGCTTTTACTTAGGGGTTTTTCTTTTGAATGACCCTTCCTGGACAAAGTTATGTCTGTATTTCCATGTCACACTGTTGTATATGGTGACTTCACAGCAATGCCCATCTGTGGCAGGAGGTGACAATACACAGGCTTTAACACATTAATTCAGATTTAACTACCTCTCCAGGAAAATATTTAGAAGTACCTTCTCCATGTAAGAGGTTTTCTATTGCTAGACATCCTGAAAATGAATGTGCTGCCTCGGGGCAAAGGCAGTATCTTCTTATTGTTCAGAATATGGGTACTTTAAATCTTCTGCCTTTATTGAGAAAATTATCATCCTTGCTGAGGATCCCTTGTTGAGGATCCCTCCATTAGTCTATCAGGGAGGCGGTTAGTAGAGATGTAGATGAGTCATGTGAAGCCTTGTGTCTCTTAGTGCATGTTTGCAAACCTAATTTTAGTCAGTCTACTCCACTCCACTCCTCCAAAATTAGATAACATTGTTACAGCTATGCAAGTGTTTCAATCAAAAAGAATCTCCAGATAAATATAATTAGGAAAAGACGTTCTCTTTAGCTGTATTCAGTTGTGGATCACAAATACATCCATCTTTTTTCCCCCCTTTTTTCCCTACGAAGTACCTAAATTTTGGTTTTTAAGACTGCTCTCAGACCCCCCAGCTTCAGCAGGCTTCGTGTGGCATTCTTAACTGTGCACACATCCAAATGTGTGCCTGACATTTCCTGTGCATCTTTGTGCTTAAAAGTAATTGTTACCACTACAGTGTTCTGCCTGCAAATGCCCTCATGAGGCACAGCGGCAGTTTAGATGAAGATTTCTTGACTTGCCAGGAAATTGTTGTGTTTACTGTTAATTTTTGAGATTTCACACTGCATCCATTAGATTTGTATTTGAGCACCTCTTTCCAGTGAATCTTACCCTTTTGCCCTTGGGAAGTAGGGGATCTGACAGGCAGGTGTTTTTATGGTCATGCACTGAAGTCAGCATGGACTGGGACAGGAGCAGAACCTGATATGAAATATCAACAAAACACATCTGAAAAGGAAGAAAGAAACTGATAGTGTTTGCAAATTGACTCTTTAATGCTACATATGATGCCGTTCCAACAAGCTTTTAGCAGCATTTGCTACTTCTGATTAGATTTGTTAGATGTACTAGATGACAACAGTCTATTTAAACTTCCATTCATACTCTTGCTCTAGTGTGTTTTACAGTCCTGTGGGTATTATCTTTGGAGTTGTGGGGACACACAAGAAGCCTCTCTTTCTTTCTG